ATGAGTTTCATTTCAAGTCTTCATTTAAAAAGTTCTATAAGGCGTTTGCGCTAAGAGTAAGAGCGCGTAAGCGGAAAATAAAGGCAAGTCCGGAATTATAGCACTTCCAAAGGAAATATGCTTCAGGTGCATGTATTTAAAAGCATAGCTAAGAACGAATATTCATGTTCGAAAAAATAGTAACTTAAATATTCAAATAACCATTACTCGAACAATGCATATGATTATTTACTGAATTATTACCGGAGTAGGAGTCCTTATAAGGAAAGAGTAACAATGCAGCAGACAAGTTTGTAGCCGTCTTACCATTCTGCACAGTACGATAAAATTTCGTTTCTGTTTCATGTGGAATTTCCTGCATTCTCTTCTTCTCCTCTTCTGAAGTTTTAGCACCGGATGACTTTTCAAATGTTTCCGTTCCTTTAGATGGACTTGGAATCTTGAATGACTTAGATTCAAAAGAGTAGGACATATTGTATAGTATATCATTATAAACCTTCACAACGACAGAATTCGGAAGATCTTTCTGATTGCAATCCCATTCTAAATGCACACGCCGAATAATAGACATATATCCAAGTGCTTCCGGGCCAAGTGGTTCCACCTTAATATATTTTGCTTCAAATCTCAGTAATTTTACTTAGTTGCCAAATGTAGGATGACTATTGTTGCTAATAAGAAGAATATGAAAGATTTTACAACGCACCTTTGCTACTCTTGGACGATGTCGAAGTTTCGTCTCTATACGATCTTTCAACCATGATTTCGTCAATCCAGTACCTTCGACGATCACATCTTCATCCATACTAAACTGCTTCTGGCTTAGAATATTCTGAATACGCTGAACCTGAAAAAACACAAGGTGAAGTATGCAGTGTATTTCGCCTGGCTCTGTATACAACTTGATTAAAATCGGCAATCTGTTCCTTGATTTAATAACGTTAATTAAAAAAGTTTTCATGTTCATTCCTGCTAGCTATTCACAAAAAGCCTAATGTTGTATAATTAATCAACATATTCGGAAGAAGATCATGGCTAGCCAGAGCCGTGCAATGTTTCTGTACGGCAAGATTTCTTGCTGGAGCAATGACCTTTGGCGAGCTAGGCTACGAGGCTAAGAGAGTCAGTGCAGTTTTAGTTGTTAAGTTATGTAGTTATTTTAGAGGTTCTAAAGATTTTATATAAGAATCTGCTTGGCTCTTTAACTCTTAACGCATCAAGATAGGTTGCGAATCGCAAGGACAGAGAGTTTTGAAGGAAATCAAAGGCCCGTGACGTAATGATAGAATTCAGAGTGATCCCAACATTGAGCTAAATTTGTTCGTAGCAGATATAGCGAGCAAAAATAAAAGTGGACTGACTGAACTAACTAAATGAAATAACTGTAAGCACACTGTAGTTTTTGTAGCTACTTAGGCGAAGCATAAAAAGCTATTGGCTTGCCATATGCGAAATGACTGTTTATAGTGACAATGGACCTTTTTAGCCTTAAATACCAAATCAAAAGTTGTCTGGCCCTCAGCCCTTCATGTCTTAGTTTAGCTTGATGGATCATAATTAACACAAATATAGTGTGTTCCTTTGTAAAACAAGTAAAGTCGCCACACCTTTTATATTTTATGCTCTTTCGTAGTTTAAACACTGAGATAACGCAGACCCAAAATTAAGTCTTCCAACTGGTGAAATCTTTCTTTAGAACCTCCATCAATACTTTTCTGACCTCAGTTCTAGCTTATCAGTAAGTGAGAAACGCACTCCATCCTACGCAACTTTGATCACGAAGATCCAATAGCCGTGCAGTGTTCAAGCTCATCAAACAGCTTGAGCCTTATGCTAGTCTTTATTTAATCTCATACCCATCTAAAAAACGTTCAGTAAGCAAAAGGGTGCAACCCAGGAGCTCTAGAATCCTTAGTTACAAACAATGATCCTAAAAGTCATCTTGAAGAGCAAATTGGGAACGCTAAAACGATAACAACTTTCTAAAAGGTGTATTTGTACTTAGATGAAATTATTCCGGTCTTTAAGAGGCTGGACTTCATAGAGTACGATCTGTCATAAGCTACAAGAAGCAATGAATGACAAACATCATTCGAAGTATACTTTCTGTGCAAAGAAGAAACTACGTTTCATAAGTAAAATAACTTCAATAACTTTTCGGCATCTAATAGCATAGTTGATAGGATGACAAGGAATATCTGTAGCAATCCTAGGAACAACAAGAAATAACCGAGAGAAGAAAAGAAAAACGCGATTTTTTTCCTTTTGACATTACCGTGAACAAATAAGTGATTAAGCATAGCACAATTTTGATCCACATCACATTGGCCAGAATAGAAAGAGATAGCTCATCAAATGAAATTCAAGAACAAACGATGAAGAATTTTGATATGACGTTAAATTGCAAATAGTTTTGTATGGCTCCATAGGGTTGATCAGTTGTTGATATCACACGTTTGTATTATCAATGTCACTGATAAAACTACATATGAACTTTGTAAAAAGCCAGTGTTATTGAGGGGAACTAAAAATTATATGAAGGGTTGTGTTACGAAAAGTTTACGAATTACCAGCTATCATTTCTCAGGTACGATCTTACTGTGGGATTACGATATACGAAGTAATATCAAATTCAATTTGCCTGAAAAGTGGACTACTGGAGTTATAATGTGCTGATTATAGAGCCATCCATTTTTCGT